ATTTTAAATCGGTAACAAAAAACAAAAAACCAAAAAGCACAAGCACTGAACACAATAAAAGATAAGAAATTAACTCTGACTGGTTCGCAAACACTATCCGGCTTAAACTAACAATAGCGAAAGGGAGCAAGTGGACGTATCAGTAAGATTAAGACGAGAGAGGGCGGTGGAGCGGGCACTGCAAGGGTGAGTAAGAAATCATTTACTCATCAGAGGGGAAGGTTCCAAGAAGGCCTGGGATATTTTTGCTATAAATAAGCACGATGTTAGCAAATTTAACGTTTCGCTCAGTTTTGTGAACATTTTTCTTTTCTTTGCTTTACGCTAGGAAAAAAAAAAAAAAAAAAAACTTTGTGCGGTAGGCGCGGATAATCCTCCCCACGCATAATCCGCCCGCGGATAATCGGAAGTCTACTGTAACAGTAGATGCCCATTAGGTTAAATTAAACCCTTTAATAAAACAAATATTTATCATTTATAGATAATACCGAAAATAACGGTAATTTATCTCAGCAAATATCGATTTAAGAAAATTGCAAATATCTGAAGCTTTTATTAGCTATAGATATTTACTGATGCAATAAATCCTACAACTATTATGAATCCCATTGGGAACTTGCCTGTACATTGACAAAGCTATTTCGTACAATCACGTTTGTCAGTCAAACAGAAAATTGATCTCTTTTTCTTATTATAATAACTTAAATATACCCCTGTAACATCGAATGTTACCATTAATTTCCACTTTTAGCAGCTAAATGTTTTTCATATAATTTTCTGTAATTTAGTTTCCTTTTCGCAGTATGCCTTGGCAAAAGCAGATGAACTTTGAGTTTAAGTATGTTTTTTAACTTCAAATCTTTCGGAATAATTTTACTTATAGGGCAAAATACATTTACTTATAGTGCCAACAGATCTTTGATTCGGTGGATTTCCTTTTAGTATCCAGATACCTTCTTACCCGGGTTTACCCAGGTTCAGACAGTCTCGGGATGCAGATTTGCAGTAACGTTTTCATTTTTGCCTTCAGCTAGACGCTTTTTCTCTCTCCAGTTCAATATATTAAAAGTACCTTTCTTTGAAATGCATTAAACTCGATTTACAGTTTTTGATTCGAATATTTTCCCTTGGAAAGTGCATTTGCACGACTGTAAGAAATGCCAAAACTTTAATCTTGATTTTAGTAAGCTATAATTAGGGAAAAAACAATAATTACATCACCAATAATTTATCTTAATAGTTTGTGTAATTTGTTGTATGTCGTGAACCTCCACCCCTATTTCTGATATAAACTTAGAATATTTACAGTGACACACTATTTAGTTTCTTATCAAATTTTGGTCTCATAATCTTTATGATAAGAATCTGATGAATGTAATTACTTCCAAATTTAAAGCCCTTTTCAAAGAAATCAGGAACTTTATTGTGAGGGTAATTTATCAAATCCAGTTTTGGTTCCGTTTTAGAATCAGGTTTAATAAATTACAAGTAAATTAGTTAGCATATCTTAATTATTTGTATACTTATCCTAAAAGTTCCTAAAGTTTGCAACACGACCCAAATTTTAGCGACCACGCAGTAGGTCGCTAAAATCTTTTAAGTGATTTTTTGCGGTATTTAAATATGTATACTTAACAGCAATTATTATGTGAGATAATTCCCAGACGCACAGACATGTATCTGAATTTTTAAGGTGTAATTCGGATTTTCTAAAATTGAATAGAAATGTAAAATCGAAAAAGGATTTGTTCAGATATGCGAGATGACTAAACGCGCTTATGAATTTTTGATGGCTGTATGGGGAGGTTCCATTTCCGCTTGATAAGTCTGGATCATTAACAATCCTCTTGTTTCATTCTTTTATTTTATATTTTAACTGCCAATTCCAGTGTATTTATTTGCCAATTCCAGTAAATGATTACTGGAATAGTGCACATTTGCTTTCTAACATTCACTTCGCATTTCCAGGAAATAGTTTTCATTTATATTCTCTGTTACTTTATTAAATTAAATATTATCTTTACAGCAATAGCGCAGGATTTTACTTTTAGTCCTATTAAATAAATTTTAAAATACCATAATTTGAAGTTTTCTTTTTGTTTTTCTTATATAACGATATCTTACGCACACACACGCACGTATATATATACATATTTTATTTATGGAAATGTTTTTTGAAAAGCTTTTCATTTTCTTAGTATTAAAAGTTTAAGGTTCACATAATCGGGGACCAACTATTTTTTGAGTCTTGTTTAAATGACAATTTGATTTAAAAGTAAATTCTTTTACTCATTAATTTGTAATTACTTTTGAAAGTCTGATTTGCATTCAATGTATCTTAATGTGTGCATTCAATGGGACACATTAAACAAGTTTTATTTTGTATCTTTGGCAAATTTTGTATTTTAGAGTAGTCAATTTTGCATAATGTAGTATATTATTCATTTTCTCTTTTTTTTCCAAGTATTCGAATACGTGTAGGAAAAATTCTGAATACATTTGAGATTTGAGCTTTCGGTTTTAATTGAATTTTAATGTTTTTACTGAAAATTTAATCGAATCTTTTTTCCATATTTGATCTTAAATGATTCAGAAGAACGAAACATGTATTCGAGACACATTAAATAACTTTTATGAAACTTTAATTCATTTTCCCTGATGAGTTCTGAATAAGGGTTTCAGACAAAGGAAATTAATTTTTATTTTGTTTTTTCTATTACTAATTTGCATTTTTTATTTTTCGGGTTTATTCTACTGATAAATTCTTATATTAATTTTGATTATGTTTAGCTACAATGTTTGACTTTTTATCCACGGTTGTAATTATCAATATTGTTAGAGAATTGCCTTGTTTAGATTCCAATTTAATTTAATTTTGGATGCTTTAAGTTTAATTTATAGGTACTTAATCTCTATCAATAACTTTTTTCGAAACTGCGTCATATGTGAAAACTAATTCAGCATTATGCCATCTTGCATTGCCTAAAAGTTTCAGCCATTAGTTTGTCTATAAGCCATTTGCCTATAATTTTTAACTCTTGCATTGCCTATAAGTTTTAGCCAATCATATTAATGAAAAACTGTTACCGTTGCAATCCATTTACCCTCCCTCTTTCTCTGCCTACGCTTGCTGGCTTAAGGACATCTCTTGCTTAGCCGCTTCTATTGAAAATGTCATACGTCATCATCAAAATTGTGGGATGCAGATTGGCCCTACTGTGCTGTGCCATTCAATAGCGTAATCAACAAGTAATAAAGATATATTTTGATTATTAAGTGATTTTTGTGATTCTTCAAAATTTCTCAGCATCTTCTGCTACGTAATTAATATTTTTCAGTGATGACATAACTTCATCATCTAACCTTTTAATGAAGCTTGTACCAGTGTGAAGTGACTTGATAGAGTTATTTTCTGTTGACATAGCTCCTGAAAATTTTTATTCAACTCTTGTAACGAACAGAGATATTTTGGCTTATATGTATTGTGTGTAAAACATATATTTTATAAAAATGTATAAAGTATGTTTTATATGAATGCTAATGTATTTTAATGCTTTTTTTCTGAAAAGGCTTCTCTGTCACTAAAGCTTTTAAGCTTTTTTCTCTTTGAAGGGGATGGATATGCAAGGATAAAAAATATGTTAATATAAATTATAATTTAAATTAGCAGTAGTCCTATAAAAGTTAATTTTAATTTGCGTATTTCTCTTCTCTAAAAATTAATAATAACTTTCTCTGAACTACGTCATTTTGAGACTATCATATCATAGCATATGACTTTTACATAACGCTGGTGACGTAAATGTAACTAAAACTTTAATTGTTGTGTGATCGATAACTTTAATTAATTGAGTGATCGATAATTTTACAGTATTATTAATTATCCAGTTAAATGCGACTGAAACTGAAATTAACTCATTCTGAATTGAGATTTTATTCCGAACATAAGTCACTTGCTCTCTGGATCTCGATTCCAAATAGATTGCTGCTTCCTTACCGCAAAGCTATCAAAAATGTAAAATGCTTAAATAGGCATGATTAAAGTGCCAAGTATTTGTGGCCGCGAAATGTTTACATATATAAGGTATTTCTCCAGCCTTCTTAGCATGCCTTCGTGGCGTAGTGGTCAGCACGCTCGACGCGAGTTCGAGTCCCTCCGAGGGCATTGGTCATTTTTCTTATCTTCTGCTTCCAAATAACCTGATGTCTCTAAACATATAATTCGAGATTTAACAATATGTTAATACGCGAATACTGTAAACAACTTCATGTAATTTAAACTTTCATTCATTAACGTAATTTTTAAAAATTTGGTCTTCAGCAGCGTGCAGTCCCTGGATCAACGATGTGTTCAGACTGCTGGAAGGAATATAAAACAGAGCAACTTGATGAAAGCTGGTTACAGTCACCTTACTGTGAACCATAAATACAATTGCATAGACCCAACAATGGGTGTTCACATCCAGAATGTGAAAAAATAAAGGGGGTTTAGCCTAATGGCGCAATAAAGGTCAAATGGGGCACAGCTTGGAATCATCTCGAATAATATCTTTCGGAATTTATATGGAGAAATTACATAGAAATAAATGATGTTTTGATGAAATTTTTGGAAGCAGTTTCGGAAATTTGGCCTTGTTATAAAGATTATTAAAAATATTCTTAGGAAATAACTTCTTCTTATTATCATATATTATGCCGCTTATCTTATATTCGCGCTTCACAAGCTTGGCGAAATCATAGCTGCGATCTGGGCGTATCCCTAAGGTCGCCAAATAAGCTCGGGGATCTTTATAATAAGGAAGTACTCCTAATTTACATCTTCTGGAGTGGATTAGTTGTAAATTAGAACACACATTAAAAAAAGAAAAAAGAAAAGAAAACTTATATAGTTTAGGTAAATTACTTGAATATGGCTCTGAGAGGACTAGTAAAGAAAGAAATCTGTGTTCAGAAGCGATTTATTCTAAGAGTTAGGAATATTCCCTCCTTCTGCTATTTGATTTAACGCAATAAATAAAAGTAAACAGAAAATAAACATAGTGACATGGGAGGAACAATTGTATATTTGAAAATAAGTATGCAAATTTTATTTGATATTGTAAATTATACAAAATTTAAGGTATTTATTTTAAGAACTTCTCCACAGGTCATTCTAAAAGTGTTTCGTAGGAATCGCAACTTTTCAGACTATTTCGATGTAAAATATTCCATAACCCGTAACATTGACTGCTTATCAGGTTCTTCTATATTCATTTCTTGTACGATGGGTAAGAGTCCTCGATACATTCTCAAATCGCAAAACTTTTGTTCATCTGTTGCAATACGGAATGTATTTTCGATTTGCAGAGTTGCATTTGGGGCAAAACTAGTACATTCAGCAGCAGTATAGCCAGCGTAGCAGGAGACAAAATAAACATATTGCCTGAAAATTTAAAGAAAATAATTTGTAATACAACAAAGATTAATTTTTAATGCATATATACATATATGTTACCGGCATTCTACAGAACACCTAGGCATTTTATAGAATGTCTGTCTTTTTAGGCAAAGTATAAAAGATCAGAATTATTATATACTTTAAATAGGCACTGTATATAATACCTAGGCATTTTATAGGATGACTAATGAGCTTTAGGCAAAGCATAAAGAAAACGTCATGATGAGCTATTATTTAAAAGACGTTTATTTCTGAAAAATACGAATGTTATCTTCAAAAAATAATGAAAGATTTACATTAAAAACTTTTATTCTAAACACAACCGGGGAAGGAAAAAAAAAAAAAAAAAAAAAAAAACTGAAACATTTCGTGTGCTACCTTTATTTATTAAATATCATGTTCTTTGCACTTAAACCATAAAATTCAGTTCAAGAGCAATATCGCAAAATAATTTTAAATTGAGCATATCTTTTGAATTTCCGATACAGTCTCACGCGCTGAAAATAAAAATGTTTTTTTCTGCACAACGTTGCCATTGCTCGCTTTGAAATTCTTGAGTTTGTTAATCAAAAATTCGTCAATGTTTTACAAAATAGGAAATCGATAACAAATTCCAAATTTTGGCTTCCAGATGCCCATACTCGCAGAAGGATTACGTTATTCAAAATTGGAGGGCTCTAGGTACCATTATTTTATCACAATGCGAGAAACATACATACATTCATGCAGATTCTTCATTATTTAATTTCTTTAAATATAACACAGGGCGATAATATTTGGTGGCAACAATTTGAAAAGTGAAATAACGGTTGTAATGAATCAACGCAAAATGTCTCAAACTGCTCATTTGGACTACGGATAAATTAAATTTAACTACCTAATCAGTAATTTATTTAATTATATAATAATTTAACATTTTCTAAGTCATCATGATTACTAATTGACTCACATATTGTAAGGATCTTAAGTTTTACTAACGTTTATTTTATTTTAAATCTTTACTATCACTTCTTATTTTCTACTTCCGGCCAGAATTATAAGCGTGAAGGATTTTATGCAAAGTTGTCTGGCGAACGCCAAGTATTTAAGTGTGGCCTTTTTGCCAAGCAGGAGAGAGGAAGCAGTGAGTTCGAAGCAGGCCGCTTACCTTAGAAGTTACGCAGTTGCTATTTGCCTTCCAGGCCAGAGGTTTTTAATCCTCTTGATAAATTAAAACGTATTGTAGTGTTCACAGTCTCTGTGCTACATACGCTTCCTGTTATTATAAGGCCAATCTTATTCTAAAGTTAAATTAGAGTTTAGTTTTATTTTTATACCTTTTACGTTAGACCCCGAGTGGAGGGTCATTGTATTCCGAAGTACGGAAGTCATTGTATATAAAGAAAAATAAAGGGTCTTGTATACCCTTCGTCTGTATCCTGTCTACTTACTACAATTAGTGAACATAGCTTTAGTAAGCTCTCTGTTCCTAGTCAGGTCATTGTATGTTTCCGAAGAAGGTTAGAAGAAACATTGAACCTGATAATATTACGAACTACTTATGATTAAATACACATATATTAAATTAGATATTAATTAATCCTTAAAGAATTAATTTGAGAAGAAATATTTCTTTACTTAGTGAAGATAATTTAGTGAATCCTTACCATATTATCAAAGAATTTTTTATAAAATACTATTTGACCTAACTATCATAAACAAATATTTTAAAAACAAATAAAATAATTTATCTGTCTCTTCTGGCTTCAGATCATTTGCGTTTAACGCGATTCTAAAAACTCATTCTAGTAAGGAATTGAAAAATTCCTTTGCAGAATGAGTTTTTAGAATCGCGTTAAACGCAAATGAGAAAGTATTTAAGTTCCACTGACTTCGAGAGAGAGTTAGGATTCCTGAATGGCATGTGTTTGCCTTTTGGCTACGTCTCTCTATCTGTTACTACGCTCGGTCTTAATGCGTGCTTTATGATAGCTTCACTGGCTAAGTTAATATTAAGAACAAACTAGTTTAGAATTGTGTTAGCTTCGGCTAAATTTCTTTAGTTAATCATTAGTTAGTCATTATTTCTTACATTTTGAGTTTAAGCCCAAGTGGAGGTTTTATTGTACGCCCTGAGAAAGGGGCCATCTGTATATCTTTATTTGGAGCAAATAAGGGTTAATGAACCCTTTCTTGAGTTTACGTTTCCGTTCGTGGATTTAAGCGACTACAACATTTTCAGAAATGTTTTAGCCTCAAAACTATTACTCATATTACGGCAAAATTTAACATTTTCTTGAGCTGATCTATTCCTACAAAAACTGATTGATAAGAGCTTCAGAGGTTATATACTGGTGATAGCGAAGCTAAAGGAAAGCATAGACGCTCAGAACTTAGTACACCATGCCAAACATATATTGCTGAGCGACTATTTTTATCATTTTTCCTACGGCGGGCAGAATTTACAGAAGAAAGATGGGAACAACTGCTCTTCTTCTTTTATGAATCACTAAAGTAATCTTGATGATAAAGATTGGTTATTGAGAATGAATCAAGGTGTAGCGAGGATGGAGCGAAGAACAAAAAATATCGAATAACCAATGGTATAGTATAGTGGTTTCCAATTGGCGAAACATGAAAATCTATATGTGGAATTAATTAATTACGATGTGCTATAAATCTTAACGCTTGAAAATGCAGATTTTATTAATTTTATTTGCACAAAAACTATATAACTTTTATTCGAACTTTTAAAACGTTTATTCATTGTCAAAAATGAATAAGCTCACGAATTTTTGTATAAAGAATAATTGTTTTGTTTGGGAATACACTTATATGTGAACAGCGGTTTTTTTTTCCACTGTTGAAAATTAATAATAAAAACCTGATTTACGGATGAACATGTAGAAAACGTGATGAAAATAGTTTCTAGTAATTTCTCTACATCGCTGTAAACTTTATCAGAATAGAAACGCCATCGAATGTCAGACATCGAATGCAAGGTATAAAGAAGTTTATAGTTACTTTCATACAGACATACGCATTTTTATTTATGCGTCCAAGAAAAATTTAATAAATAAGAGAAAGGTGTTGCTATTATTTATTCTTAAGTTTTCTCCCTCTTGGTAAATTTTCTGTGAAAATTGAAAGTTTTCATAATTTGTTATTTTTAGTTTAAATTACAACAAGTTATTTGATGATTAATTAAACATGTTAGAATTATTTGAAAAAAAAATGTTAGTCTAGGAATTTAATATTTAGGTGTCATATATTTGAATTACAAAGTATAACTAATAAAAACTGCCTTAAATGCACCAAATTTTAGACTTTAAAAATTAATTAAAATATACTTTATTTTGTTAATGATTTTTTTCATTTTGTTAAAAAATTTTTTTGGAAGTTTTCTCCATTAAAAAAAAAAAAAAAAAAAAAAAAAAAAAAAAAAAAAAGGGAGGAGTGAGGCCTTCAGCTGTTCAGGCTCACATATAATTTGAGTTTGAGACCACTGGTATGGGAAACGGTTAGCGAGGTAAGAGCGCGTAATGGCAAACTGCACATTCAGTTGATCAATGTTAAACGAATTTCGCATACTGCGCATGCCCAGAAAAGAATTTGGCGTAATTACGACTTTGGTACAATTTTAAAAGAAGATAAATACGGTGTGTGGTTAATATTCTGTTATCTGGGCGTAAACAGTTCGGGGGCTTAAAACTTGTTAGGTTGTAAGTTCCTTTATTACTTAGAAGGTAACTATCGATTGTAAACTACTCAAATTTTCGTTTAAGACTGATTACAAAACAGGAAACATTACAGGATATATTAGCTGAATCTTTATTGAATATACTTGTGAGGAAAAAAGCAACTGCGTATGGTAAATAACTATATGTTCCATTCGTGTATACTTTAACAAATAAAAGAATAAATCGAGTTTAAATTACTGAATTAAAGTCAAGGAAATTATTATAAATAACTGATATTAAATATAACGTTTATGAAAAAAAATAAACCAAAATGAAATGAAACAGAAGCAAATGCATTAAGCACAAATAAATTTCGGTAGTATTGTAAATAGTCGATAAGACCTACATGATGAACAGGCTTGTGTAATGGTTGCTTATGCTTAGTCGCCAGTATTTCCTGCCACGCCGACGGTACACCACTGAGCATGCGCATTAAACGAAATTCCTTAACAATGATCAACTCAATGTGCGGTTTGCCATTACGCGGTAAGAGCGCGTAGTAAGAAGAATCGAATGAAGAGCTGGATTAGAAAGTTCGATTCAGTCAAACGTTAACTCTCTGAAGTGATTTCGTTCAATTGTAGTTTTGAAACTTCCTAAAACCTCTTTTCTACATAGAACTAACAATAAAAATTTCCCAAAAAATTAGGAAATGATAAAAGTTAAATTTACTTTTAATGTTGGAGGATAAACATTCCTTTTTCTCCTAATATGGGAATCGAACATTCCTGCCACGCTTCCAACAAGCACTCTCAATGGGTGAATCTCCTTTAACTGTAAAAGAGCTATCGCTCCATTTTCTAGAAACACTGTACATTCGCTCAGTAGAGTGAATCGGTTCTCTGAATCAGCTCTGGAGTGAATCGTCCAAATTTAGCCCAGAGTAAAGTATGGGATTAAAATTGGGTAAAAGATTATGAATAATTAGCAGGAACTATGAATCCACAAGAGGCAAAGGGTATTAATAATAATAATACGCTCATGATAATAAAGCAGTGCATTATCATCCAATTATTTATTTGGTAAGTCTATATTAAAAGGATACGTTAAAGAAGATTTAATAATGGTTTCAGAAATAGCTGAAATATACCACGGAGCTAAACACAATCCTTCTTATAATTCACTTCCAAACAATTTGAAATTAAATTAAAAAAAACTGCTAAGATTCTAAAGCAGCCGCAAAAATAAATTGCGGTTCAACAAAATCTGAAGTAGTTATTTCAACTGTGCATTGTAAAAAGGAGTTGATACTAGTTTTGAACAAAG